TGCCAGGCTCTGTCTAATTCCAAGATGTCCTCCAGCCAGCAACAGCAGCCATGGGACCCAATCTCCATCACTCACTGGGAATCAATGCAGTTTTCCATCTTGGCTCCACTCTACACTGTGCTGTGTCTTCCCATCAAGGGCCCGGGACTCATCGACTCCCCTTATCAGCAGCAGTAGATTCAGCTCGACTTTGGAATGTCCAAATCCAGGGCGTGTCCAGCACAGCACGGAACGGGTCTCAGTGAGTGCATCAGGCTTCAGCCCTCCACCTGTGCTTTTCCTTCCTCTTCCTAATTTTATTTTTCCCTTTGGTCTCCTCCTGGGTTAATAAGAATCGTTATCCAATCGTCTGGCCCTCTCCAAGTTGTCAAATTGTAGCATCTGAGCTGTTTACCCCGCAGCTTCCTAGCAAGCCACCATTTTTTTCTTGTACCCTATAATGGATTTTGTACACTGTTTAGGAGAAGTCCTCGGCATATATCAACCTCTATACCTGTATACCTATTAATGCCAGAACTTAATGTTACTTTCTAAGAACAATATTACCTTATATAGCAAGATAGGAGTTTCAAGACTTTAGAGTATCATTAGATTTAGAGGGTCTTAAATCCATTGGAAGAGAGAAGCAGAGGAGGATTAGATGTGCTCAGCATAATATATGAAGACAACAGATTCTAGCCACGGCCACCAGGGCCACCACGGGATACTGAAGGAGGCAAGGGAGACTTTTCCCTTAGAGCTTCCCAGGAGACTGTATCTCCAAATAAAAAAGAAAAAGAACTGGAGAGGTAGCCCAGTGATAGAGTGCCTTTGGGTTTGCTCTCCAGTGCTGGGGTGGTGGTGGGGGTGTGTGTGAAGGAACCCTTAGAGAGCACAGCACTGCTGGGTTTTGTATCTCTAGGCTTTATAACTTGAGAAAATAGGCTTTTTGCTCTTCTAAAGCTACAAGGTTCATGGAGATTTGTTATGGTGAGTCCAGGCAGCTCAGTGTATAGAGAACACAGGGTACATGTGCTCTGGTGCCAGAAGTCTTTCAGTTTTGCTTCACAGGTTACTAGCTGTATGTTTTGGGGCACATCATTTCACCTTACAGGGCCTGCTGTAAAGGTTGCACATGGAGAACAGTGCCTGGCATACTGTGCACATGGAATACTTGTTAAAGTTATCAACACTGTTATTACTACAATTGCTATTCTCACAGCAACTGTTAGAAAGTACCTGAAAAAGATATTCAACATAACAAGAATGAATAAAAGTGTCTTAATTTTCTCATTGCTGAGACGAAATACCTGACACCCAAAGTTAAAGGGGGAAAGGGTTGTTTAGCTCACAGTTTGTGGAGGTTTCAGTCCATAATTGGCTGGTCCAAGGCAGGGGTGGCACATGGCACAGGTGTTAGGGGCCATGCGCCGCTCCCCAAAGATGGCACCCGCTTCCTGCTTCCTGGTTCTTGTTGGCCCGTGTTGCCGCGTAATTAACCCGCCAAGAGTGATCATCTGCCTAGCAACAGTCGGTTGTGACCAATTGCTATCCGAGTTCCTGCTATGCTGTGATTGGCTGCTTCTCGCCATATAAACTCATGTATCTCCTCCCAGAGGGAGAGGAAGAAGGCTTGAGGGCGGCGGACCTTGTTAGGTCCGGCTGAGCTGTACACAATAAAACTTTGAGAACCGACCCCATTATCGTCTCGCCTCTATCACTCACGGCTCCGGTCACACAGGGGCAACAGTTCTTGGCGGCAGAAGACAGTAAAGGGAACAAAAGAGAAAGCAAAATAAACCTTGTTCTGTCACCTGTATTGTATCCAGTCTACTGCGATTAGGGTGGTGTTAATTCAGTCAGTGGACCGATCCAGCAATTACCCATCCTTAATCCCCACATTTTAGTACAAATCAGTCTAGATTCAGCCACCTCTGAAAAAGCCCTATGATGACATGAGGCTTTAGGGGGACATCTAGACACAAACCATAACAAAAAGGTACTTGGGAATAAATATAATCTAGTTTTTATGTACTAGATTATACAGTTTTGCTAAAAGGTGTTAAGACCTAAATAAATGGAGAGATATATTATTTTGACAGATAGAAGTGCTCATAAAAACATCAATTGATCTATGCCAGTCTAATAAAAATTCCAATAATATTTTGTTTATTCTTTTTATAAAAAAACTTGACAAATGATTGAGAAATTCACATGAGAGCAAAAAGCTAAGAATAGCTACTACACAGCTGAAGAAAAAGATGTGATTGTGTAGTTGAATACTATGTATAACAGAAACAGAAGAATTTTAGTTCCTACAATAACAAAGATAAATCCCATAAAAATAAGATTGAAGTAAAAAATATCAGAAGCAAAAATATATCAGAGATATTCCATTCAATTTATATTGCTTTTACAAAGAGATTCTCCAATTAGGGTATTTACTTATTGGAAGAACCTTGGTAGCCTTTTTTTAATGGTAAAAAATTTGCCTGCAAAAATATAACCTGGGCCGTAACCAGTAATTATTAAGAAGTATAACAAATATTTTTGTGACATATGGCCTTTCTAACTGCAAAGTGGTTACAATTAAGCAAATATGTTTAAAATGGCTATTAAAATGAAAATATGAAAGGAAGGAGAAATAAATACTATAAAAAATCTAAGATAATGTGTTCATTCTGACATAAATTTAGCTCTACACTCCTTGGAATCAAGTAATGAAGGCATAGGTTATAGGACATAGACTGTAGAATTCTCATTTCTTAAACGAAGTAATTTTGAGTTTTAAAAGTATATGTTAGGCAGGTGTGGTGGCTCATGCATATAATTCCAGCACTCAGGAAGCTGAGGCCAGAGGATTGCTGTGAATTCAAGGCTAGCCTGAGCTACAAAGTGAATTCAAGTCCAGTCTGAACTGCAGAGTGAGACCCTGTCTCAAAAAAAACAAAGCAAAACAAAACAAAACATTTGTTTTGCTTTGTACATATATTTTAAAAAAGATAATTCTGATAATTATACAAGAAATACCAAGCCATATATTTAACAATGGTTTCTGAAGGATAAATGCTATTCATATAGGTGATGTGTATATTTTTCTTCTATAAAAACCTAGACTATAGTATTTAGATTTCTTAGAGAAGTCTCTTGGGGATGGAAGATGGGTACTGTACCAGTTAGGATCCTTGCTGTCAGGAGAAGTAATCTGCATTAATAAAAGGAACTTTATGAAGGTGTGGGTGGGGCGGAGGAGCACACGAGGCTAGCACAGTACTGTGGGGCCATCACCCGGGTGACTGAGACCCTGTGAGGCTTACATGAAGTGAGGAAAAGTTAACCCCAGCGTGAAACTTAGGGCCAGAGAAGGCTGTCCGACAGGAGTGGTGACCGTTAGTCAAACAGCGGATCTGTCCTGAAGCACCCACAGAGAGGAAGGAGAATAAAGACCTTGGACTTCCTGCCACACCACCCAATCTCTTGCTGATATCTTCATTGGCTGAGTTCAAATGGGCACTAAGGGCAGATACAGGGCAGTCTGTTGGCGCCCGTTGTCTCTGGTGCACAGGAGGGTGAAGGGAGGCTCCAGGGGAGCTCTCCAGTCAAGAGGACGTGTTAGAAATGTGGGGACTTGTACAAAGCTCATGCTGAGCCCGTTTTTGATACTCTTCTTTGGGTAGAGCAAAGAGCCACACGTCCTCCTGCCTTTCCACCCAAACTGTAGAGAATCACTACAGCGTGAGGAGAAATGTGTGTGTAAGCAAAGGTTAAGAGCGGCTGGTCTAGAAAAAAGCTCACTATTTCCTTAAATGTTCTATTTTTCAAATGGACTTTTGAGTAGAGCTGAGTCATGGTTCTGGAATAGAAAAGTTTGCTGTAGATTGAGCTTGGAAGATCAGCTGGGTTCAGTCAGTCTCATAAGCTGAATCTGGTAATCCAGGTCCCAGGAGGTTACTTCTCAGTGTCCTGGTGGGAAACGTCACCCTGTGTGGAGTTAGATGCGTCGAGAGCCCCTGGAGACAGTGTCTAGTGACCCGACATCTGGGAGATCCTGGTGTGTGGCAGCTTAAAATCTGTGTGTCCATGGAGCAGCAGTCATTATCATCACAGACAGGCACACAAAGTCACTGCATGGCCAGCGAGACCATTTAAAATACTGGAAAACACATTCTAGCATTGATGGACTCTGGCCAAATCCCCAATATTACAGGGATTAAATCGCTCTAATTTGAAAACCTGCCATTTCTAAAAGTGAAAATAAAGCCAAATATAGTGTGAAGAACTCTATATTTTTGTGCTTAAACTTTATACATATCAAAATGTTCCTCTTTTTTGCACTGAGACAGCTTTTTAAACTTAATCATGTGAATGGCAGACTGTTCAGTTCTAGTGCATCACTGCGGATGACTGGAATGAGATGGATTCATGTTCTGTATTATCCTTTGATGCTGCCAGGGAAAGGAGTGTCAGGCTGAGGAGGTTATTAGCTTCTTATATATACTGAAACAACACTTGAAGGCAACTGGCTTTCGATAGGACAAAATAATCAGTACACCCATGATGTTACTTTAGTTTAAGTCCAGGATGCCCTGAAGTTCAGACAGTGATCAAGAGAAAAGTGGGATACGTTTTCATTGAAGTCCTGATTTCAAATATTACGAAGGCCTCGGGAGGTTGCCCAGTCCATTCCCAGCCTTTGGCAGAATTACAGTCAAACCAGCCCAGAGGATGGCAATCCGTCCTTTTTCTAAAATAACCCACTCAAGAAATGTGCTGTAACTCTTCCCACACCCTGTGACCTCATTTAAGTCCTGGGGGTATGGTGTAAGAGGGCAAGACTGTGCGCCCCCGTCACGAGGGGACAGTGTTTACGTGTGTCACAGCCCCACTAACCCTTCACCTCCCCAAGGAGCCTGTCCTTCTCCCTCCACCACCCTGATTCTCTTGGATTTCTCTGTTCTCCCTGATTCAGAGTTCCTAGTTGGTTTTTATACAGCTTTCTTTTTTCTTTGTTTTGTTTTTAGTTTGGCTTTTTGATGCAAGGTTACGTAGTCCAGGCTGGACTGGAACGTCAGATCCTCCCGTGTCCACCTCCTGAGCACTGAGATTGCAAGGATGCACCGCCATGCCTGTGTCTCCACAAGCTTCTTGAATGCCCTGGGAATAGAAAGGCAGTCATGACAGACTGCAAGGATTGTCAGCACCACGGACAGTAGCTCACCCAGCTAACGCTGGCAGTTCACTAGGGTACAGACAGCCAAGGGCACGCAGATGACCTGTAATATCTTGGAGAGTCTTCATCAACATATTCTCTTTCGCTTTCTAGTCTTCTAGGTTTTGAAGGAAATAGCTTTGATTTCTTTCAGTGAAGAAAGAGGAGTCCCATGTTTGAATAATCTACAGGACTGAGGGACTCAGGCTGAAGGAAGGAAACTGTGTAGACTTGCTAAAGGTAATTCACCACTTGGCTCTGAGGTTCAAGGGACAAGCATAAAAGGGGAGGAGAGGGGAGAGGAGAGGAGTGGAGGGGAGGGAAGGGGGAGGGAGGGGAGAGGGGAGAAGGGGAGGGGAGGCGAGAGGGGAGGAGAGAGGACAGGAGAGAGGAGAGGGGAGGGGAGGAGGGGAGGAGAGGAGGGAAGGGGAGGGGAGAGGAGTGGAGGGGAGAGGAGTGGAGGGGAGAGGAGGGGAGGGGAGAGGAGCGGAGGGGAGGGGAGAGAGGAGAGGGTCCCCCCTCTTCTCTTGCAGATGCCTCATTAAATACATTTCACAAAGAATTCAGGCCCCAAAATGCACTGTAATGCCATTTGTCTTTCTGTATGACTGTTTTTTCTTCTTAGGAAACATTTGTTCTAACTTTAAATCAGTTCAGAATCACCTGTGCGGTCTTGGTTAAGTCACCTACAATCTCTACCTCATCTTGTGGAGAAAATTTCACAGTACTTCTGAACATTAAAATTAATTATTAATTAATTTTGGGTTTTGAGATGAGGCCTCATTATGCAGCTCAGGGTGGGCTTGAACTAACTGTGTAGCCCAGGCCAGCCTGGAATTATGGTAATCGTCTAGCTCTGGCCTCCTGAGTACTGGAATTACAGGCATCTGCCACCACCAAGGGCTTACTTCTGAAAATTTTATTTCTTCACTTATATATATACTTTTTTGAGACAGGATCTTGTTATGGAGTGTAGGTTTGGACTCGAGCCTGCTTACGCGGTCCATGCTGCCTTGAATTTACAGCAGTCCTCTTGCCTGGGCTTCCCAAGTGCTAGGATTACAGGTGTGCTCCACCGTGCCCAGCTGCATTATATTTTATTTATTTGGTACCAGGAATCAAACTCAGGGTCTCATACTTGCCAGCCGGCGCTGTGCCACTGAGCCATGTCCTTGGCTCTGTTTTATCTTGTTTTGAAACAGGGTCCCTCTATGCAGCTGTGGTCAGCCTTGAGCTTACCACAGAGCCCAGGCTGGCCTCTAACTTGTAGTGATCCTCCTGCTGCAGCCTCCCAGGTGCTGGGATCATAGGTGTGGGCCACCACGTCCTACACTTTTGCACATTTTAAATGCATGTTTTTGGACGTATCAATTCAAACATAAAAACAATCCAACAGATGCATTTACCCAAATGCAAATGACAGCATAATATTACTTATTAAAAAGTGAAGGTTAGAAACAATCTTAAAATCCACCAATAAAACTGTTTAAACAAATTTAAAGTGGCCAAATGTGTGGCTCAGTGGTGGAACACTTCCCTGGTGCTATAGAAAACTGCAGGTTTGATCTCCAGCACAAGAACCAACCAAACAAAATTTTATCTTTCAGATACAAAGAGAAGTTCACCATATACCGATGTGAAAGGTCTCCTGCATATGTTATTAAGAAAAAGAGCCAGGTTCAGAACAAGTAATGTATTAGCGTGTTTATATAAAAAGAAGGCAGTGTCTCCAGGAGGGTGCTCCAGGCAGGCCCTTCAGCGGCGGAGCTAAATCCCCAACCCCCACCTTGTGTGTCTTTAGGATGAGATGACCGGGTCATCCGTATGAAACCTGAGGACTGGGCTGTAGGTGGGCACTTGTTTTGCGTGCGTAAAGCTCTCCATTTGAGTCTCAACATGACAATGAATGAATGAACTTCAATACAAATAAAGTAAATTATCTGTGATTCGATTCCCATATAATTTACCCACTTGGTTATCTTGGGAATAAAACAGAATTATTTATGTGAAGATCCTTTGAAGGATATTGTTGGGGGCACAATTATAATGTAAGAACACATTTATAAAATAGCAAACCTATAGTTAGTTCATGATCAGCTAGAAGAGTCTGACGAGTTTCTGCTGAATGCGGCTGACTTTGACAGTGTCTGAAGCCCACCTGTAGACCTCTGCTGAGCACCGAGTTGGAGTAATTGTCTACACCTAAAAGTACCCTGGTCTAATCCGAGGACCCTCCCAGAATGCTCCTATATTATGGGAGTGCCTTTAACTATGCTCACTCTGTAAAGCCCCCTCCCCTTGCTCAGAGTGCTTCTATGTTATGACAAACAATTCCTTTGTTTCGACAAATCTGTTCAAGAATGCCTGCCTGTCAGTATATGGCTGAATGCATATAACCAGTTGTGTAAGGTTGCTTTGTACCTTCTACTTCTAAAATCTGTATAAACTAAGCTCTGTAAAGTCAGCGCTGTTGCCTTTGTGGAATTATGCTGCAACAGTCTGCTAGTGTAAAGATTAAACACTGTCATCTCCTCTGTGCCTTCCTTTTGGTTTGGTTTGGCTTGGGAATTTCCCCGCAACAATGTAAATGTTCTTGACTTACAGTGTTCACTTCTAGTGTTTCAAGAATGCCTACCTCATGTGCAGCCCCTGTGTCTCATCATGTGCCTTGTGAGTACTGGACTTTAAAGCCGGACACTATAAAGTAAATCAAGCCAGGGATATAGCTCAGGCGCACAGAGCATGCCTGGCAAGTGCAAGGCCCTGAGTTCAAGACCTTATACCAAAAAAGAAGAAAAGGTAAATATTTGTGATGTATTCTCCAGTTTATTGCTGTAATATGGCTACTACAGGAAAGAAACTCCTTTGCTTCCTGTTGCTCTCCTTGTCTTCACATAGTTCAGGATAATTTTTGCTTTTTAGCAAGTGCTACTTTGTAGCTGCTGGGAAGGGGGCACATCCTGCCCTGCCTGGCTGGGAAGGGCCTGAGGGGATTAGGCCGCATGCAGCAGGAAACTGCAGTGTCTGAGAACGAGGGAAAACAGATGGACCATTAAAAAGCTGGTGTAGCCCAGTGAGGCACCACAGTGGAAACTCCTTTGTTGGATGTTGACAAGGAAAAAATGCTTTACTTTCAGGGAAAAAATTTTTTTTGATGGTTCCTGTTATAACACATTTAAAAACATCATTGTAACACTGCTTAGGAGGGCTTTGTGTCCATCCCTAGGAAGGAAGGGTGTCGCAGGGGTGGTGGTGCACATATCCCACAGGGATGGGTTAAAAAGAGAGAAAGCTCCCCAGCTTTGCAGACTCCAAGGGGTCCCTGAGAGCACCCCAGGACTTGGTTAGTAACTTGAGACTTGAAACCTTTGGGGGGACTGCTGGCCTAACTGGCCGGGAAAACGGCGAGCGATTAGTGGGTCTCCATAAAGTGGACGAAAGTTTAATTGACAAAAACAAAACAAAGCACCTCAGTTTCTACCAAAGGAGAAACATTACAAGAGCAGAACAAGTTCACAATCTTGCTTCTAATTTTTCTCCATATATATAGATCTATCTATCTATATATTTCCTCTGCAGTTTATGCCAAGAAAATTAAATTCATTTTCAGAATGTTTTTTCTTTCTTTCTTTATATCACTTCTTTTTGTCCTTCTTCTGTGTTAGGAGCCGGCAAACTTTTTGTGAAAGGCCAGGGAGTTCAATATTTTAGGCTTTCCAGGCCAAACCATTTCAGATGCAAGTATGTGGTCCTGCTCGTAGTGGAAAACAGTACAGGAAGGCGTGTGCTGTGACGCCTGCGATGCTTTACTTACAGAAACAGACTGTGAGCCACATTTGTTTCCGGACATGCAGGAGTTTATCTGCCTCTGTTCTGTGTTATGATAGTTGAAGTAAAGTTCACAGAAGACATATAATTGTTGCTAAGTGTTTGAGAAAACAAGGAGAAAACAAATTTGTATCCACAGTTTGTACTTCTTTAAAAAGCTTAAAGATTTAGTGATTAAAAGAAATGCTGGAGATATAGCTCAGTGGCATAAGCACCTGCCTGGCAAGCACGAGGTCCTGAGTTTGATTCCATGCACAACCCCCCCCCAACTCAAAATAGGTCAAATCCTCTAATTAAATAAAATTATTTTATGAATGATAGGTTCAACTACAAATCAATAAAGAAAATAAATCATTATCCCATAGGAATAATGCTCTAGCTTGAGCCCACAGGAATGAAAATACACATAATTGTTAAATATTTTATAAAAGTTTTAATTGGCACATAATGCTTATATGTATTGATGGGATAGAGTATGAAATTCAAAATATACACGAAATATCTGTTAAATAAGTAAATTAGGACAGCATTTTTTTCTCCTTCAACATTTGGCTAAGATTAAGTTTGTAGTCTCCTCAAACATTTATATTTCTCTGTATTAGGGAAGTTTGGCTATTTTGAAACACATCACAAATCTGTGTAGACTAAAGTTACCCCATTGTACAATAGAACTCTAGAACCATTTAGATGTAATTTGATACCAATTCTTGAGCCTCTTTCTATTCTTTTCCCGTTCTATCCTTTCTAGTTTCTGGTGATCATTATTCTGCTCTGTTCTCCCATGTGAGCGTAAGTGAGGATATATGCTATGTGTCTTTGTGCCTGTGGTTTCACTGTTTTTTAAATCTCTCTCTCTCTCTCTCTCTCTCTCTCTATATATATATATATATATATATATATATATATATATACATACATATAATCTTCATGCACTCATCCACTGATGGACACCTTGGTGTCTTGGCTATTGTCAATCATGCTGCAATAAACACGAGAGTGCAGGTGTCTCTTTGGTAAACTGATTTTCATTTCCTTTAGCGTGTGTATATCCAGGCGTTGGATAGCTGGTGTTATGGCTTGTATCTAGATGTTCCCCAAAGCCTTACGCTCTCATGGGTGGGATCATGGGTGTGTGATGGCGGATCAGCTCACTAATGTTGGAAAGTGAAATCTGGCCTGAGGCGTGGGTCACTGAGGGCTTGGCCCGGAAGGGTCCGTCTCCTTCCCTCCTCCCTTCCTGTCTGTGGCCTCCCACTGCTGCACTGTGGACTATTTCTCCTCGGCGTGCCCCTCTGCCATGCCACTGTGCCGTGGAGCCAGCCAACTATGGACTGAAACCTCTACAAACTGTGAGCCAAGATGAGGCTCTTTTCCTTAGAGTGGTGGGTGTTGGGCATTGTGCCTCTGCAAGGAGAAAGTAGCTGAGATGGCTGGATTATGTGACACCTTCATTTTTAGTTTTTGGAGGCTCTTTCATGCTGTCTCCACAATGGCTGCACTAATTTACCTTCCCACCACCAGTCCCCTTCCTCCTGATATTTGCCAGCATTTGATACTTGCCTTTTTTTTCTCTTTGTATTTTTTTTTAATCGGTGCCAGGGATCGAACTCACGACTGCCTGCTTGCAAGGCAGGTGCTTATGCCGCTGAGCTAAATCCCCAGCCCCTGATACTTGCCTTTTAGATAGTAGCTATGCTGACTGGGCTGAGGTGCTATATTATTGTGACTTTGACTGGTACATAGAGTGATATTGAGAACTTTTCATACTTGTATTATTGAGCCCTTACATGTCTTCTGTTAGTTAAGTTCTGTGGTAATGGGGTTGAACCCAGGGCCTCGCGTATACTAGGCAAGCACTCTACCGCTGAACCACATCCTAGCTCTTTTATTTTATTTTGAGACAGGGCCTCTCTCCGTTGCATAGGCTGCCTTCAAACTGCCAATTGCTAGGATTCTTCGGTCTGTACCATCACTCCTGGCTCCATTAGTTCTCTCGCTGAGCTTTAGTTCCTTAGCTGTAAAATGAGAAGGATATAGTAGAAACTGTGTCCCACAAAGTCTGTCCTCCCCATCTTATGTGCACATTATGCTACATTTCCTAGCGTCCCGGCCACATGAGTGTTTCTGATGCATGTAAATGGAAGGGTGTGTGGTACTTCTGGGCCCGTGTCTTACAATGCCGGTGTCCTTTACTGTGCCACCTTCCTCTTTCTGCCTGGGGTGAATCTTGAGGAGTTCATAGTGGGATGTGCCATTAAAGTGGGTCCTGCTGGGTGGGCGTCACTGGGTTCACAGGTCACATCCTGGCCTCAGCCTCGTCCTGCCGTTTACATTTCAGGGCTGCCTTGACGGGAGCTCCTTTGCTCCGCTGTGTCCTTCTGTCTCGGAGCTCGCTGACCACGGACTAAAACACCTGAACCTTGAGCCAAAATAAACCTGTTTTCCCTTCATTGCCAGACATTTTGTCCCAATATCAGAAAGGAGACTGACGGAGACGGAGGTTGCTCAAGGTGGAGTGCTCACCTAGTACGGACTGGGTTCTGAGTTTAGTCCCCAGTACCACAAAAAATAACTATACTATAAATACAGAGAAACTAACATTTTTATTACCACCTACGGTGCTCAGTCATATTTAGGAGCAAAGAACTAATGTAAACAGTAGGAAATGAGACTACTGAAAACAATGACACGTTAGATAACTTAATTTTATAACCATGTCACAAACTGGTGGCAAACCCTGACGTGCCCATGGGAGCTGCAATATATTAAATGTCATTCTAGACTTTGCAGAAAACTAGTTTAGAGTGGCAGGACCTGTGGTTCCATGTTCTTGTGAGGGTACAAAATTCACATTGTCTGATGAAAGACAAGCATTAACTCTTGACTGATTCTTACTTGGCACAAAAACATTTCCATATCCAAAGACCAGTGTGTAATGGGTCACCACAGGAAGACTTCACAACACCACAACTGTGCATCAGGAGAGACGTGAACAGACATTTGAGGGGGGAAGGGAAAGGAAAATGGCCTGCCCATTAAGTGGCCAGGCCCGAGAGTCTTGTGTAATTCCCGTGCATGGGAAAATGGAACCTTCCTGTCCCTTTGTGCGCACACAGCCAGGTCTGACGTGGCAGAGGAAGTGGCTTATCATACTTGTGGAAAGGAATATTTTCACAGTCTCATTGACACTGCTTTAATTTGGTTATCAAAGCTTAACAACTGGAAAAGGAGAACCATTAATAGTTCCAGTAGGAAAAGCGATCCATTAGGAAGAGCCCCAGGAGACACTTTCGGATGGGAAGGTGAGTGCCACGGGCTGATGTCGTGCTGGGATGGACTCTGGAAACACGAGAAAGGACGTTCTGCAAAACAGCACGTGGAGAGGGACAGCTCGGAGCAGCAAGGGTAATGCAGCTGAGGGCTTTGGAGACACATACCAGCTACTCTAAGCGGGTCCCCAAGGCCAACTATTTGTTTTTTTTTTTTTTCTGACACAGGCAACTGCTTTTTCCGACAGCAGTTTAAAAGAAAACCATCAGGGGTTGTTTTGGCAAGAAAGAGGGATCATCTTAGGTGCTTAGTGAAAGAAATAATCAGAGCTTATTTGTAATAAGTAAATAATAGTGGTTTAGGGTACACATGGGAATTTTCTTCATAGTAATAAATGTCAAAGAGAAATGTTTATCCCTTATTATTAGATCTTA